CGTACGCAAGGTGGCTCGGGCTAATCATTCACGACTCCATGGCAGAACACTTCTCAATACCAAAACGGAGCTCAGATCCACACTTCAATGCACCGAAGCTGCAATATTTCAAAGCAGACAAGAATCCTATCTTCGGTCTAAGGATCCCTGGATTTCTGCTCAAGCTTGTCAAATCTTCAAATCCAGCGGTCCAGCAGTACAAGGAAGCCACAGAGAGAACTGTCCCTATGGTTCAGCAAAACCCAGCTGGACCTACCCCGGGGACAAAGCCGAGTGAAAGTAAGGGTCCTAAGAGAGCCCAAAAGCCACAGAAACCAGTGGCCGGTTTGCCCAATGAAGGGAAGTCTGACGACTCTCTAGAGACGAGTCAGGCGGCTGAGGGCACCGAGGAAGACGCTGAGGAGACGGCCAGTGAATCGTCTAGTGGAGCCCAAACAAACACTGACGACAAGGCCTCCGAGAGCGTGGGCACGGAGAGTGACAAATCAGACTCGGATGATGACAGTGATGACAATGATAGTGATGATGTGGAGCTCACATATGCACTAATTAGAAAAGGAAAGCTGCCCGCCGAATCTCCAAAGAAGAGAAGAATCACTGCTGAAGACGCAGCACCAATCATAGCTCGCAGACCTCAAGTCTTCACTATTAAAGAAACAGCTAAACCAAGAGCTGATCCGAGCGAGACAAATTGCTCAAAGGATGATTACGACGAGGCAGCTCACTCCATCAAGACATCAATCAACCAGGAAGAAGTTGTCATCCGAGAGACAAGGGCTAAAGTCAAAAATGACAAGGTTGCTAAGGCCAGGCCCCAGCCCCGAGCGACAAAGAGTCTGTTTGATAAGGCAGACGAGCACATCTTTGCTGGCTGCGACCCCTTCATCCAGATAAGCCGAGCTGAATCCCTAAGCACAGGAGCCGATCTTTTCGGTTCCCGAGTAGAAGTCGCAGCATCTGGCTCAACTGCGCATGCACAACCCTCTCCCAGCCACTCAATTGCCTCTCAAAAGGTTATTGTTTCAAAAGAACGGGACTCAACCCCCTCGCTGGTTCCTTCTGAATCAGTTGAGCATACAATTGACCTATCTCCCGAGGTCAAAACCCCTTCTTCACTCACATCGAGTCTAGGTGTCACATTTCCCACATTTTCTTCCTTTTCTAGGACACCTACACTATTCACAGCACATACAGGTGCACTCACCCTGAATGCAACAACCAGAGCGCAAGCTATGACGGTTGGAAGCCCTGCTACGCCCATAATGATTCCATCATTAAATGCAGGCCACACATCAGCAATCTTCACTGATGCTGTGTCAACAGTTACAACCCCCGTAACTGGTCACCCTACCTTTGAAGACGTAAACGTTCTACTAAATCGCTTCCTAGATTCCACCATTAAACCATGGGTGCAAGATGCAATGACCGCTCTAGCACAGGAATTTAGGACCACCCAAGCGGTTCGGTCTGAACAGACACCACCCCAACCTTCCCCTGAACCGTTCATCTCCCATACACAACCCATATCCTCCACCCCTCTATCCCACCAATCCATCAACCAAATCCCTATCCCTTCTATTTCTCGGGGAACCCAGAATACAGAACCGGTATTCTCCCCACACCCGACCACACCCTCCATCGATCTTTCCTCCCTATCCTTTGACACCCTAGCTTCGGCTTTGCTGAATAACCTTTTAAATACCCCAGAAAACGACCTCACTCTACATCAGCAAGCCATACTAGAAGCTCTTCTCTCCTCACCCGAAACCAAGAGTACTTGCAAGGAGAGTCTTCGTGGTCGCAAACGTTCCCATGAGGACCCCGATGATTCGGATCCTCATGAGGGGGAGAACAAGCGACCTCGATCACTTGAGCAAACTACTCTTCCAAGCCAAACTCCACAGCCAATTCAACCTGAAACCTCAACAAACCAACAGCCACCACCCACAGCCAAACTCTCTAGCATGGTCGAGCTAGAAATAACATCCCGAGGCGTATCTCCTAGAGATACCAACCGAGGAGGGGATGGAAGTCCTGATGATGATACCACTGGTACATCTTCTCCATCAGGCCATCAGTTGGAACCTAGTTCTAAGCTGATGTCAACGGGCAATCCTAGTGAACTCGGTAGTGCTACACAGGAACAATCACCGCCTAAACAAAGAACTCCATACATCTCCCCAGGCAAAGACATCCATGATGCACTGGAAGAGGCGGTGATATACGACAAATGGCCGAGAAAATGGACAGAATGGGATGATCTCCGGGTTGAAGCCGAGCAAGAAGACATGCAAAGAAACTGGTGGCTACGAGAGCTTATTAACAAATGCTCGGAAGATATCATTAGGCTCGAGGACGATGAACGCAAGGAAGGGGAGAACTACAAGGAATCCCAGAAAGCTCTTGAATCGGTCGTAAGACAATCAGCGGGAAGACTTCCCAAGACAGAGAAACCCTGGGACAACGTTCGAATCAAAGCCCCCTTCCAAGAAGAAATCAGAGAGCATATCTGGCGTAGACCAGACAAAGTCAAGCCACTGAACGAACTGAAGCTAAGAGGCCTTACACACTTAAAAGGAAAACAGGCTGGAGGTCATCTGCACATGTTGCTGCAAAGGTCAACCGGTACACAGAGAGAACTGATGGAACAAGATCTGAAGTCAAATATTCTCCCGATTCATCAAATTCTACAAGTGAAAGCTGAAGACTATCATGGAGTAACATTTTACACTTTCAGACTTCAACGCACCGATGGGAGCGAATTCACTTGTCAAGAGAACGACTTCATCATGCTGAAACCGGATGACATCTATCAAATGCTCATGGCCTACAGACACCTTCCAGTAAGGCAAAACATAGTATACAGCGAAGGCCTCGCAGCTATCAAGAGATTCATGCTTAGACAGATCCGAGTACACTCCTCACATGACCTACAAATGGCTATTGAATGCAATCTGAAGAAGACAAATCTGACAAAGCCAAAACTGTATGGTCCAGAACTTGAAGATTTCCCAGCCTATCACATCTTCTTCAAACCGCCAGCAGTCACCTACCTGAACCACAAGAACGAAAAGCGTCTGATGGTAGTCAGTGAAATCGAGAAATACTGCGACGGAACACTGAAGATAATCAGAGAGCAGATTCTACAGATGAAGGCAAAGCTGGAAGAAAATCTTCAAGAGGCATCGTCTTATGTTCAAAAGGAACACTCTACTATGGAGACAATTTTAAAGGCCATTGACGATCGCCTCGAAAAGAGAAATATGCTAAGACAGTATGAACATGCACTTGGATTAAGGAAGCACTACTTCAAATCACAGAAGCAATAAGAGAATGACACTTGATCACAAAGGGGGAGATTGTTGGAGATATTTTATTGTGAATCAAGTTGGTCATAGATTAGCTTTATATTTAATCCTTGTATTTAAATAGTGGATAAATTAGATAGAAATCAGGCCAAGTGTTAGGCCCATTTAAACAGGCCAAAAGCCTGTTACGCCTAACCTAAACCTCGCCTATAAAAAGGGAGCCGAGGTTTAGGAAAAGGTTGAACGTCGTACTTATTATTCATAGCCTTACGCTTATATCATTCTGCTGTACGTTCCACGGTTTATCAAAGAAGGTTTTACGGTGATTCATTCTGTGTTCATCTTTACGTTTAATCTTCATTGTTAGATCGATTATTCATTGATGTCAGAGAAACAGGGACTAACACCCTCCATAAAACCATGAAATGTTTTGACTGTAACCCCATCATATTAATTAATTACATCTTCAAGTAGTCTTTTGCTTTTTTCAATATGTTTTCCCTTTCTTTGTTAAATTTTGACAGTAAAACTTGAGCTGCATACATCACTCTCATCTTTTGGATTGTTTCATTTTGAGCTTTTATTCCATCATTTGTGGCAGCACTTGCAAATCCAGAATCCCATACATGTCCTTGCCCACGAAACGTCTCCAAGTGACGCAAAGTATATACTCCACAGTCAACGTGATTGCTATTATGTCTCCATGGCATGTATAAGATTCTGGGGACCCAACTTGTTGTGCTTGAAATCTGCACTTTCTCACAGAAGGCTTTGAATCCTTCATGCTATACAAGAAGTAACATTAATGAATTAAAATAATATGGAATAATATGATTTCTTATTTCCAAAAACATTGTATTGAATTTTTACCATTTTTTTCAAAGTTTTGCCATATTTGTCCTCAACGCTCACCCCATCTGGAAGCATCCGGTTGTCAATTACATCAACAATGTTGTTTGTTGTGTAAAAGCAGTAGATATAATAGTGCTCATGATTGTGAATGGGAAACAGTATCTGCATTATTATAAATTTATCTTCAGTTACATAAAATAATACAGAATCTACATAATTCATATCAGAACTTACATCACTCAGCTCTGTAGTTACATACTACGGTATTATTTTTCACCCTTTGTTTTAAAAACATTTTTAACAATATATCTTATACACCGACTTACATAAAACAATAGAGTTTACATAATTCATACAAGAACTTACATTAGACAAACGCTGCAGTTACATATTATGCTAAACATTTTCTATTACTAATATTGTTTCACACTGATTTACATTTAAGAATATATATATAAGGATTACCAAATTTGACTTGTGTTTTTACACTTGAATTATGTAAAATTAAATATTAATGACATTTTACCATATCTAATTTTGTGACATCTGCTGCAGCATCATTTATTTCTTTTTGCAATCTATCAAACATATTTTCTATTGGGTCACCAGATGCAAAATCAAACATTGCCTGCACATTCAAATTGAGTCACTCTTAGGAAAATATAGAAACTGAAGTTCTCTACTTTATTTTACAATTTTACAAGAAAAAAATATACATACATATACTTGGGTTGACGCAATGAAGGCACGCTTTGTAGACTTATTTGATTCTTCTATGTCATTCAGAATCTTAGTGAATGCATCAATTACTGAGTTGTCTACATTTCCTTCTTGAAGTGTCTGAATTTCTTCATGAGTTATAAACACACCTTCCTCATCTATATAGACACAGTCTCTAACAGAATAATATTTTTCAAACAAATTGAAACAATTAATTATCAAATGGTGTTTATATTGAAATAATACATTATATAATATTAGTTTTTCTTACTTTTCAACTTCTTTTGAGAATCCCCAATCAAGAACAATCTTTTCATCTCTGCTAAATTCTTTGCATAGCCTTCTATTATTCTTCAGAAAAGGTGATCTGTAATTGACAATTGAATCACCTAACTTTCGAAGCTTTCTCTTTCTGGTATATGGCTTTAGACCAACACTCCTTTGTAAAAAATAATATAATGTTAAGTTTATTTTATTAGTTAAAAGTATTGATGAATTACATAAGAAAAAAATAAAACTTACTCTGACTTATTATCAATTTCCTTGTTTACTTCTCCATCATCTCCAGTCACTTCTTCCTCAACAGCCATTTGAGCCACTTCAGCCACTTCAACATTACCAGTCACTTCTCCATCAACAGAAACAGTTTCAGTCATTCCAGCAATGGTGTCAATCATCACATCTTCCACTCCATCAACAGTTTCAGTCATCACATCTTGTACATCAGGAGCAGTTTCAGTCTTCGCAGCTTCTACATCCACTTTTGATGTGCCTTCACCCTGTGACATGTTAAACTCAATTCCTATGTCAAATGAAGGCATTGAAAATTTCAGGAATGCTGCTTTCTCTAGTTTCTCAAGGGCTTCCATAACTCCAGGCTCATTAAAGAAGTCATCATCTTCCTCAAGGACACACTTCTCTGATAATCGTTGAGTTCCTTTTGCTTGATTTCCATTTGCTTGATTGATGAAGTAATCAGCTGTGGTCAAGTATATCTTCTTCAAGATATCAGAAATTGGGAACTTTTTTGCAATGGTTGACGGCAACTTTGAGAATTCCACAAAAGCATCACTAAACTTTTGTGCCACAGCTATAATCTCCTTCACACAATCCTATAAAAATTATAATAATAGTTGTTTAATAATACATAAGATACATAGTTATTGAATTAAGATTACAGGCTCCTTGGAAAAATCCTATAGTTATGTAACAATTGATTTAAGTTACATAAAATAGTCTTTAAGATCACAAAGTGTTGTATTAAAATTTACCTCCTTTGACAACATTTCAGCATCTTCATTTTCTTCATCTTCTTTTCCTGCTTCCTCTTCATCTTTGTCTTCCTCTTCGACTGTTATTATTCGCTTTGTCACCTTTCCCAGACCAAAGCCCACCTTTCTCTCATCTTTGACTCTTTTGTCAATTCTCTCCTTGTCCCAGATTCTAATGGTTGGATAAGCACTCTGCATAATTTGGCCTTTGAATTGTACTCGATCAAAGTAACATATCATTAGAAACAGTAATGGTCCACTGAACATCTTTGATTGATTAGTTTGCCATTCCTCGCTTGCATCCATCAACGATCTTATTGTGTAGTTGCACCAATTCATGTTTGGTATATCAGCTACATTAACCAAAGACATCAATATTTTAAAATTGCTGTTAACACTCTGGTTTCCTCTGATCAGGCAAGAGACTGTAAAGACCACAAAGTTTCTGATGAATCTGTCTCCAGAGTCAGTATCTGCAACTATTTTTTCAATCATTTTTGATGTTTGAGGGCTTCCTTTATCAATCCCCCATTCTTCTCTCCATTCTTTTAGCAGTTGGGTATACTCTTCAGTTTCATTCTTCGCATTCGCTTCTTGAACTTCTATCTTTCCCTTTGGCAGACCAAATACATCTTTGACATCTTCATCTTCAATATCTAGCAGCTCACCATTGGCAAGTTGTAGCTGTCCTGAAATTGGTCTAAAGTTCTTCAACAAAAACGCAACCAAATCTCCACAGAATCTGTCAAAGTTTAAATGCAGTAATCCCCCAAATCCAATCCTTTCAACTGCTGCTTTTTTTCTTTCATCTAATTGGTTAATCAACTTTATGAAAGGGGCTGGTCCTACTCTTGTTCTTAGATTTACAGAAGGCGGCCTGTTGCTTGTCTCCACTTCTTCATATTCATCGTCTGATTCTTCAGATTCTGCTTTCTTCTTTTTTGGGGCTGCTTTTCTTTTTTTGCTTGTTGTTGGCTGATGATATTCTAGCCTTAGAATCGGTTCTTCTGTGTTCAGTATCCTTGCAGTTTCATTGTGATGTTCTGTATGCTGAGTTTCATTTTCAGGAGCTACAGCACTTCTTGTTCTCCTTATATTGCACATGAGTTACATTTTTGTCACACACAATTGCCATAATAGTGAAATGAAGTTACATCATTCACAATCAGATGAACAATGTCATGTGGAGCACATGAGTTACATATTTTTACACACAATTTACATAACAGTGAAAAGAAGTTACATCATTCACAATCAGATGAACAATGTCATGTGGAGCACATGAGTTACATCTTTTTACACACAATTTACATAACAGTGAGAAGAAGTTACATCATTCACAATCAGATGAACAATGTCATGTGGAGCACATGAGTTACATCTTTTTACACACAATTTACATAAAATTGAAAAGAAGTTACATCATTCACAATCAGATGAACAATGTCATGTGGAGCACATGAGTTACATCTTGTCACACACAATTTACATAACAGTGAGAAGAAGTTACATCATTCACAATCAGATGAACAATGTCATGTGGAGCACATGAGTTACATCTTGTCACACACAATTTACATAACAGTGAGAAGAAGTTACATCATTCACAACCAGATGAACAATGTCACGTGGAGCACATGAGTTACATCTTTTTACACACAATTTACATAACATTGAAAAGAAGTTACATCATTCACAATCAGATGAACAATGTCATGTGGAGCACATGAGTTACATCTTGTCACACACAATTTACATAACAGTGAGAAGAAGTTACATCATTCACAATCAGATGAACAATGTCATGTGGAGCACATGAGTTACATCTTTTTACACACAATTTACATAAAATTGAAAAGAAGTTACATCATTCACAATCAGATGAACAATGTCATGTGGACTTGCTTACAATCACAGACCAAGGCAGAGGATTTATGTATTATTATACACAGGTTACATAAAATTAATAAAGTTAATCTAGTATTAGTTTCAGTGACATGCAACACTATATCACCAAAAAAATCAATGAGAAACTAAGGCATAACAAACATATTGAGGTATGCAACACTATATTACCAAAAATTGTAGTTACATCGACAAATTCCTTATTATGCTCGATGACATATGAGCATTCGCACTTTGCTTATTCAAATTGAGATCACAATAAGACATAAATCACACTATTCAATACTCAATCTCTTTCGTTTTTGAGAGTGACTTACATGCAAGTTAAAATTTATAGCAAATTAGCACATGAATCATATTGTTACATTCTCAGAGATACATTTTGAACTTCAAAAAGCAAAGTACATAGTTCGTTCGGATGAAATACCTTGCAACTGTTTTGCCTTTAGACCTCGTCATTTTCTCGATCTGCAAAACGTTCTTCTTCGTTCGGATTCTTACTTTTCCTTCTTCAGAATGCACTTCGAATGGTGGAACTCTGTCTGACGGAACTTGATGGAAGCGTGAAGTCAGAAAGTTTTTCGAGAAATGTAAATAGCCAATGTCAAAAGACGCAGCTATGGGAAGAAAGACGCGCCGATTTCGAGAAGGCCGTTGTGCGCGTTTTTTTAATAGAACGACGTCGTATTGATTCGGGTGTAGCATGCTCATAATGGGCCGGTCCTATGGTATACGAACTCTTAAAACTTTGTCAAGTTTGAACAACAACAGAATTAATAAAGTAAAACTTGTGTGGTTGAAAGGAGAGAGATTTAACTGAACTCATAAATTCTTTAGTTAAAAGAAAAAGTGGCAAACTAAGTGGGACAACCAAAAAAGAAAATTGACAAAGTCTTAAGGGACATATGGAGTAACATGACATCATTTTTCAAACCTGCTATTAATAACTCATATTCAAAGAATAAAAATATGATAGTTATATTTTAGAATTACAAAACATTTTCACTCTTATTTCGGAAATTTTCCCAATATGTGTTTTATGTAGAGGAATATGATTGGCAATGTTGGGAAAATGGTTTTTTACTTTAATATAATGGTCACTTTTGAGCTAAAATAAATAAGAGATTCACAATTAATTTGTGGTGGGACCAAGTCCTAACGTATAGTACTCTGAAAGGTGAACGCAACCATATATTAAAGTGTGCAAAACCATTTAGAAATGAATGAGAAATTGTTCCCCGAACTTCTCTAAAAACTAGTCTTGGAAGGGAATTTGTCCCACACCGAAAATGGAGAGTCAAGGAAGTGTCCTTTTATAAGCTTTCCTTAACTATTTGGGTTGGGCCCTTAGGGCACCGAAGTTATGTTGGGTGATGAGACCCGTATACGGTAAGTGTGGAATTAAACCTTCACGCGCGCCGCCGCTGCCGTCCGACCGGCTGAGTCGGGTTCGGGTCTTTGACCGGTTCATCGGCTGTCAAACAGTCCGCTTAAAGACTACATATTTTTTGTTCCGTTTTGGAATAATTTCTTTGCAGGAGAGGCATGACTCTTCAAATTGTTCCACCTTTCATTCAATAGGTGCCTTTTGGGTGAGAGTTTTCTGGCCAAAAACTCTATAAATACCCAATGAATTTTGCACAAGAGATATCCGAAAATTGGCAATCAATACACCCCCTTCATCGTTTCGATCTATTCCTAAAAATATTGCATTTTTTAGTTCGCCGGAGTCCCGTCAACGGGAACGAATCCGTTCTATCCTGGGAGACATTTGCTACGTTATTCGGGCAAAATCGTCTTAAGGAGAACGCCATTGTTGGGTTCGGATTTTCTGCGTATCCATTATCTCTCTCTAATTATTATTACTATTTATCATGATATTTTTATGAACACGTAGATAACAGGCAGAGGTTTCGTTTTGCTATTGATCAACGAGATATTCATATCATCATATGCATGTCCAAACTAATGGTGTATTTGGTGAAAACGACCAAGTATGTTTGGGTTCTTATGAGTTGTGACTTGTGAGTTGTTATCAACTTACGAGTATTAAAAGTTACCATCTCATTTAAGTTCATCAATAGATTATTTCTACTGCCTAGTTTTAAATAAGTACCGAGTATATAAGCATATGGTTTAGTATTTAAAATATTTATCAACATGTAAAAATAGTTAATAAGAACACTAGGAGCAATATACGATAATGCCTAGTCAGAGCGGACTCTCCGTCTTTGTAGGGTTCGGAAAATCCGCCGTTTTGATGCGGCTAGGGTACGGCGATGGGAAGCAGGCGAGAGAAGATGGCGACGGGCGGTTCTAATCAGCAGGCAATCGGCGACCAACATAAACAGGATGGCGAGACCCCAGCGGTTATGGGTGTGGGTAGCGTGGAGCAGCTGATAGACCAATATGACGGCATGAGTTTGGGTCATACGCGGACGAGCTTTTACTGGACGATGATGATGAATCTGAATTCGACTCCGGGGCGACGACTAGTGACGTGAAAACCTTTCCTGTGGTTGGCACGATTCTCACGGATAAAGTGGTAAAATTTCAGATCTTCCGTGATCTGATGGTTGCTCTGTGGTGTTTGGGCAAAAAAGTGTTGATTCAGGAGATCGGTGAGAGGAGGTATTTATTTAAATTTTACCATATACTCCCTCCGTCCCCTTTTAAATGTCCCGGAAGAGGGTGGCACAAGTTTTAAGAAAAGTAGGTTTGTGTGGTTGATATTAATAGATAAAGTAAGAATAAAGTAAGAATGATTTTGAGCCACACAAACTTTACCAAATAAGGTATGAGACAATTAAATAGGGACATCCCAATATGGTAAAATGGGACATTTAAAAGGGGACGGAGGGAGTAGTTGATATGAATCGTGTGCTCGAAAACGGACCTTGGTTGTTTGATCAAAATCTGTTGGTGTTAAAAGCCATAAAATCGGGGGATATGACTCTGAAGGTCCCTCTAGATTCGGCTGATTTTTGGGTACAAGTACACAATGCTCCATATGGCTCTTCGAATCTAGGAAATGCCCGTAGAATCGGGAATCATCTGGGAAAATTTATTTCCTCGGATGATAAACAGTTTGATGAGAAATGGGAGGCATACATGAGGGTCAAGGGTGACTTTGGATGTGAGAAATCCCCTGAAGGTGGGAACAACTCTGAAAAAGAGTAAAGGGGGAGGGTACTGGGTTGACTTCAAGTACAAAAAACTCCGTAGTTTTTGTTTCGCCTGTGGAGTTACAGGGCATGCTGAGAAGTTTTGTCCCTTATTGTATGAAAAGGGGGGTAAAGCTATTGTGAAATCTTTTGGCCCGTGGTTGCGGGCGGGTAGAGGGAGACCTCACCCATCTATGGGTAACAAATGGCTGGTGAGTGAAGGAGGTGCTTCGAAGGTAACAGTGCAAGAAGAGTTCCAACTGGGATGGAAGGGAACCTCAAAGGGAAGCATGAGCAGAGTCAGAGCTACAAGAAAAATGAGAAGCAGGGAGGTGTGGGACTACCAAAAAGTGATGATGCGAGAACGAGTAGCAGCGAACCAGGGGAGCAGAAGAGGAGGCGTACCTGGGATGCACATGAGCAGGACTGCAGGAGCATTCAGAGGAGGAGGCCATGGCTCTTGATGAATAAAAAAAGAGAGGGAAGGGGCAGGCTGAAGCACCCAAACCCACCAAAACCCATGAAGATCTGGTGCTTCTTGAAGATCAAAGTTATCTTTAATTTTAGAGTTGTTTTCTTTCATGTTGATTTTTGTTTCGGACATCATGTGTTTTTGTTTGTTTTAGTTTTTATTCATGCTAAAACTCTAGAACATAAGACAAGTGATGGGGAGCCTAGTTTGCCGGTCAATGGCTCAGGTAAGTCGAGTTCAGGATCAGCGAATTTGGTTGCTTCTTTACAGGTGGCAAGTTCTAATTCTGATTCAAAGGCGAACGGTGGACATTGAGCTCTTTGTCTGGTTGTATCCTGCTTACGTTCTTTCTTATTAATATAAGTCATCTTCTTCCAAACAAAAAAGAAAACTAGGAGCAAATGTGCGATGAGTCCCTTTGATTGTATTTTGCTGCCAAACCAGATTGATAGGTCATATGGAGATTGTTCTGATTTTTGCTCTGACAAGGAATAGCTTCTTGGTGACATTTGTAACCATAAGTGAATAAAAACTTCCTATAACTAAGGTTTATGCCTACGGTTTTATGTGTTGTTTCTTGATGCTTGTGGAATCACATCCAACATTAATCGTTATTCGAGTTCACTGCTCCGAAGACAAAAGTTCACATCCCAGCCTACTCCAACATTGCTCCGGCTGGGATTGTATATGGATTATTTTTATTCTTCGCTTCAAGTTTTATGGTCAGGGACGTAGTCAGGAGTAAATGTTAGACTAGACCGGTACAAAGAATTTTTACAGATAAATTTCTACACATAATTTTTTACATTAAAAATATAAGGAATTTTAAAATTTGGGCCGCGCCGGACCCGGTAGGCCACCCCTCCACCTCCACCTCTGTTTATGGTATCCCTTTTATAAAAAACTATCATGTTATGCATTTCATCTAGGGGTGGACTCGGGTCTGGGCCGGGTCCGGGTCGGGCCTAGGCCCGGGCGGGCCGGCGGTTCAGGAGTGGTGGACCCGGGACTGGCCCGGGTAACAACCGGGTCTAGTCCGGGTCCGGGCCGGGCCCATTATCAATTCCCCCCCCCCCCTCCTAATTAACCCCCAAACCACCCCAAATGGCCCAAAATACCCAACCCAACCCGAAAATTAAAAAAAAATGAAAAAAAAATAGTTTTGGCCCGAACCGGGCCCGGGCCCGGCCGGATCGGGCCTTGTTTTGGGTGACCCGAGCCCGGACAGGAAAACCCACGGGTCAAGCCTACCCAGACCGGTCACTGACCGGGCCACCAGGTTGGGCCGGGCCGGAACAGTACCAGTCCTGGGCCGGTTCCAGGTCGGGCCACCCGACCCGAGTCCATATCTAATTTCATCTATGGTGTTACCGACTTACCGATGACCATTCCCCTCCTAAACCACCGTCATAAGGTGAATAGATAGCTTCAGTCAATTTAATGAGAAAAGTAACCCCAAATTCAACTTTATTTATTTTCATTATTACACAATAGAGCACAAAGTTAAAAGTTATGTTTGGCAAAATATTTGGTCGCTAAAGATGATAATTTGAAAGTAGAGGTTACTGTAGTGGCCAGACTATAGTTATAACCTTGTGAAAATTATTGATGATGAGAATTGTAATAAGAACAAAATGAAGATTACGAAATAGACATAAAAATGCCCAATGGTGCCTGCAATTGAAAACGAAGAGGAAATTTAATAGTAATGCATTTATTTCATTAAGATTTGTGGCTTTGTGCTGTAGCTATGACAGACTTCCCAGCAATATATGACTTGATTTCCCACCAAATAACAGCAGAAATCATAGGAGTAAAGCATTACTTTATTTTCTTTAATAGTTTATCAACGCCGTTGCCTTCCCTGATTCTTTACAATTTGGTCAGAGACTCTAGCAGGTGGGTTAAGATCCAAACAAAGGCATCTCATCTCAGTCATATCAACATGTTCACCAACTAAAGCTTAGATCTGTTTGTGTTGCCATCACCAAAAGTAAGCACAACCTTTCCAACCGCTTTCCTATCTTTGAGAGCGGAGAAAGCAAGATGTGCCTGCACATATGCAACGAGTAGGTAGGTGTGCATCAGAGGTTAGCACTTCCTCTCTTCAATCAATTTCTCATTAGGCACAGTGAACATTTGAACTTGTTTGGAATGGAAAGAGGGAGGGATAAAAACACATGAATGACTCAATTCAAGGTCATATATGATGTTATCATGAACATGTGATGAGCATGCGGCACAATTCAAAGGTCACCGCCATGTGTAGGAAGTAGCCTCCATGGGTTCTTGGTGCATCGTATTAAGAATAAGAGTAACGCTAAGTCAACCCTAAAATAGAGTACTTGTTAAGATGTTCATTCCATCATATATAATGGATGGGGACGCTCTTAAACATTATGGGACACCTCTTTCTAACCAGGCAGTTATTTTTCTTCATAGAGACCCACATCATGGTACATATCAGGCTTGATTTTAATACCATGTAAGTACCAGGCAAGCATGTAGGTTTTACCTGCTAAGGCACATTGCCAAACAATAATCCCCAACTAGGCACCTAGACCTAGCTTGCTGCCTACCAGTGCTGGTGCTATTTATGGCAGAGAAGGGAAAGGCTTCTTACCTTTGACGGGCTAAAACTATGAGAGATGTTTATGGTAATCAATCCCTTTGAAAGCCAAGATAAGAGCTCATTAACAGAATCTTCAAGCACACTTGGTTGATGTATCCTATAGCTTCCCCAGTACAGGCCATGTATTGTCCAGTTCTGCAGATAAAACATAGTGTTACTGCCAGATAAAAGCAGGGTCATTGCGCAAAATTAAGATATTCAGGAGTGAGGTTTTGAGGTATTAAAATAACTGATGTGGGATACTAAACACACCTGTCAACTAAATTCAAACTTAAAGACCCAAATTCAATAGACACTCAATACTCAACACATACGCCTCATTTAAAACCGGACTTGACAACTGAAGGTGTATGCAAATTGGCACAAACAGTCTCCAAACGTGCTTCCCCAAACCACCAAGTATACAGAAAAAATGGGCTCCATATGATCAAAACATGCAGCCACAAACCATCAAGTAGACAGGTGTCATACAAACCGCGATAAAATGTACCATGTTAACTTGGGACTTGCACACCCAACAAGCATCTTCAAAGAAATAGGTTCATCACACTAACCCAGTAGACAAACAATGTGGGATACTCAACACCCAAAAAGAAAAATAAAGCAATAGATGCGCAATGTAGCATGGAAATGGGAACTTGAAAACTAAAAAGGAAAACACACAAAGCATCATTTTCAATGGGAAAAAATGTAAAAAGGATTTCCATGGAGTTTCTTAATGGTTCTGCAGAAGTTTCTAAAGCATGGAAATGCCACTACCTAAGATTTTTAGTACATTATAACAGATAAGAAGAAAGTATCAAAATAAAGACAGTTATATTTTGAACACAGAAGTGAAGCACCTTCACAAGAGCAATGTTTGCTGGGATGACAGGTACATCTCCACTTGCAAACCCAATGACCAAAATCTGTGCACCCCAATTTAGCAGTTTCAAGCTGTCTTTGGAAAGCTTTCCCCCGACCGGATCATACAGGACATCAACCCCCCTTAACTTTCTTGATTTCAGATATTCCTTAACGTTTTCAATCACATTGTCTTTGCTCACATCAACAACATGATCAACACCCAAAGACTTCAAAAACTGCACCTTTTCATTTCCCCTAGGCATACATCCAATAAATACTTCTGTAAGTTCAAATAGCATTAATAAACAATCTAAAAGGGCATTATAATGTTTCATTTCATTGTAAAGGGCTCTAATTGAAAAGAGTTATTGGGACCAGAACAGAAAATTAAATTAAATTAAATAAAAAAGAGTGATAAACATTGTAAATTTGTAATGAATAAAAATGTACTACGTACATCTTAAAAATTAAAGAAAATACAAAGAAGTAAAAGTGTATTTTAATTCTAACTCTAATCTAGGTAGCCAAGTGCAACTGTGCAAAGGAATGTTCATATACAGTTCTTGTGCAATTATTACAGAGTACTTTATAATTATATATTTTCTTAATACATTGACTTAAGATATTTATAGCTTACTACAATTTAGTGGTTATCCTTATTTATAAGTGGCTGACATTGGGATAAAAAATACCTGAGTATTATACAATAGAGATTATTCTAGCTAAGAGTGATTGTGTGTAGAGGTTTTACTCACATGATCCACAAAATATTTCATCAAGAAACTTGATTCTGGTAACAAAGTATTGCCACGGAGTATGATTCTACCAAGTGATTGAAAACATTTAATGGTGAAGCAGACAAGTACCTAGCTATGGCAATAACAGTAGCTCCATAAACCTTCCCAATTTGAACAGCTGAAACCCCAACGCCTCCTGCTGCTCCAAGAACCATCAAGACCTATCATGAATGACCAGAATCTCACATTAGATATATTATTTGACAAACCATTATAGGCAAATTCCATGTGAAACAACCTGACCCCGACGCAAACGTGCCCTGTAAGAGAGGGCCACGTGTGACGTTCCATATGCCACAGGAAGTGAAGCAGCCGCAACAAGATCACAACCATCAGGAACTCGAAACCTTTAATTAATTTTAATCACATTAATTCAAATAGAACTAAACAGATTTCTAAAATTCTATACCCAACCGTAAAATAAATAAATAGATACTCTAAAAAATACTCCGTAAATTTTAGATCTTTTTAATAAGAAGTTCACCTAGAAATACAATTAAGGCGAAATAATTACATTAAACTAGAGGTTTTGATTTCAAGAGCTGTATGATTTGAACGTCAGTTTAACCCTGAGTTGGCACAACCATGGGTACGCCCTAAATTTTCAGAGTAGAATGTTCAACTCATAAACTAACAAAGAATAAGTACTTCTGGACTTAATTGGCTAAAATTGATGCCACTAAAAGTTTTCCGTTTCAAAAAATTCATCCATTTCAGCTGTATAGCATTTACTGAAAAAACTAAGCTTCAGTACCACTCAGTATGCATTATGTATTTAACATTTTTTACCCAGTCACACTTTTAAAAGCAATTTCCAGCATAGGGGGGCATACACATTTAAAAAATAAAGTACATAGCGAAAATAAGGAAGATAAAGGGGGCAAATTACAAATCTGATTCGTCGACAACAATGAATTGGGCAAATGAACCGAGACCCGTAAAAGAGCACACGGGATCGCCGGCTTTGAACTTGGTGACGTTTGTTCCGACGGCGTCAACGATTCCAGAGTAGTCTGATCCCGGGATGAACGGAAGTGGAGGTTTCTCTTGGTACAATCCTTGGATTTGCAGGTAAGTGGCGAAGTTCAAGCTCGTGGCTTTTACTCTAACCCGGACAGAATTGGGCGAGTTGATTTCTGGGATAGGATATGAAGTTGAAAAGGCGAGCGGAGAGTTCTCCGACGAGTTGGGTGGGATTGTTGGGTCGCCGATTTTTCTGCACACCAATGCTTCCATCTTCCTTCTTTTTACACTTATGTTGCAATCATCCCGAATAATGAAATGATCCGAACAAAATTAGACCAGAATCGCATAGATTGAACCAGACTATAGGGGAGGTAATTAGGGCATAACCATACCCGACCCTATTTAATCGTGTATTTGGTTTTAAAAAATATTCATTGGTTAAATATGATGGAATCCGCACCTAATGGATGAGTTGCGAAATTAAAATTTCCAACCTGATAGTACTCGACCCGGCCGAAGTTCATTTTACTATTATTATGCTACAATGTTTTCTTGAATAATTTCAATTTAAGACCAATGTGCTCTATCTAGGACTTTATGATGCTAGAATTATAATTTAAACATTTAACATTTTGACTAGGTGATTATTATATATTTATATTTCCTTCTATATGATCTTCCTTTACAGAAGGATGTTTTAATACTATGTAGTATTATCTAATGTTTTTGCTTATAAAAGATAGAGTACTTGTATTTGTTTGTGTGTTTTGAAAACAAGTTAATCGAGTTTTAAATTGGTTACATTAATCTCTCACATAAAGATGCAACCCGAAGTGATTTTCTTTCAATACACGACCCTACCCGACCCATTCATGCATGGTTTACCAACTTATTTTGCGTACCGCGTGTTAAATAATAGTCAACCCGAACAAATCGGGTAGGCCCAAAAACTATAGCAAACCCGACCCAACCCGCCCGATGTGCATCCCTAGAGACCATATTACCATTCGAAAATCATAAAAGAAATTTTTCCACTTTTGGTCCCCGACTTTAGTGGCGGGAACAATTTTAGTCCCCGTCTTTTGTTTTTCCCAGATTTGGTGCACGACTATGGAATATTTCCCAGTTTTGGTCCTCCGGTTGATTTTCCCGGCCAACTGCGTGTCATGTGATAAAAATTAAGAGGTTAAAACAGTCATGTAACACAGCCCCCAAGTATTTGTACTTTATTAAATTATGTACTGAGCCCTGAGAAATGAGTAAACACATTTTACGTGATTGTAAATTTTTATCATTTCTTTTACATGAATAGTAAAATTCACGTGGGGCCCACACCAGAAGTGTTGGGCCGCCCGATATTATCGAGACCACATATTATATTCATCTTGGGCTAGATAACATGTATATGGTGGTGGATATCCTAATTGGGCCGTGGCAAAGGCATAGGATTGACCGGTTGGTCAAACGAGGCCCGATTATCGGTATCGGCAATTTATGAGATAACAGCCCGAAAAGGAATTTCGGAGACTTCTAAATTAAAGTTAAGAAAGGTATATTCATCCTAAGGTACAATAAGGATTGAGAACAGGTGTTATATTTTATTTGACCCAATAAAATAAAATATAATCAAAACAGTCCGAAAAATACAACTTTCGGGACCAAGTGTACACTTCGGGGCTTAAAGGGGTGACCTCCCACATGGGTGGGGGCCACCCCACGTTTTTATAGGCTGTGAGACAAGTGAGGTCGGCTGGATGGGATAGAAGGGGGTGGGAAAGGTTGACTTGAGTGTTTTAGCATCAAAAGGACAAGGTGAGGCCATATTTTTGCTATCATTAAGGTATAAGCCAAAATAGAGTCATGTCCTTCCCCCATTAGCCCATATTCTCGACCAACTCAATCAATTTTGAGAGAGAATCTCTGCAAACTTTCATTTCCTCCATTGCCATTCGAACCAAGTTCAAGAAAGAAAGGGAAGGAAAGAGTAGAAAAGGAAGGAAAAACTAAGGTGAATATAGGTAATGATCTCACATATGTTTTCTCCTTCTCTAATACTCTCATATGATGGTGTAATCATATTCCATAACCCTATGACTGTTCTACATATTTAGAAGTGTAGAATGAGGGGTTGGAAAGTAGTTTTAAGTCCAAGAACGGACTTAGGAGCCAAAGTGATTGGTTCGCCGAATAACAACCTTTTAGAGGTTATTTGTATTAATATGGGTTTGTGATTATGAAACCTTGTTAGGAACTTGTCTAAGGTGTTCCTAGCATTTCTACTGAGTTGGTATACTTCGCCGGAGTTTCGCCGGAGTTCAATAGAACTCGCCGGAGTTTCGCCGGAGTTCAAACGAGAAGGGTAGAACGCATTAAGGTTAGAAGACAGCTTTATGCTTTATAACTTTTGCGTGAAGCATGAGATTACCTAAAGTAATCAAGGATATGTTTTATGGAATGATTAGAGAAAATCAATTATTTGCTTATGCCATGGTTATATATAAAACATAGTTGAAAAGCATGTTATGTGTGTTTGATGATTAAAAATGTGATAAATTATTATGTATGATGTTCCAGGGATCCAAAATGATATTTTTGGACCAAGGACGTCAAGAAGTACATGTTTATAAAATTCACGTTAATCGGACTTCGTTTGGGCGGTCGAACGGGCGTTGACCGCCAAGACAAAGGTAATACCCGATCGGGTATTGATTAAAAATGGCTCCAGAAGCCACTGCAACACTAGACACGACCGGGTATGGGTATATACCCGACCGGGTCTCAAGTAAATTTGGCTCCAGGGGCTACTGTCTCACCATACCCGACCAGGTAAGGTTGGATACCCGATCGGGTATTGGGTTATGCTCAAAACGGGCAGTTTTGAGTAGGTTAACGTGGGTTGTTCAGGTGGGACCCGTTCATGTTGGTTATTAAGGATGTTTATATGACTATAGGGCTAGGTATTGTCCATAGTTAAGGGATGAAAGGTTAGTCATATCCAGGTTAGGGTTTGGTAAGGAATAAGGTTGGGGTTGAGCATCCTCGGGACGGTAAATGATCCTGAAACTCGGTTGGGGTTGAGCATCCCCGGGACAGTAAATGATCCTGAAACTGGGTTGGGGTTGAGCATCCCCGGGACGGTAAATGATCCTGACACTCGGTTGGGGTTGAGTATCCCCAGGACGGTAAATGATCCTGATACTCGGTTGGGGTTGAGTATCCCCGGGACGGTAAATGATCCTGAAACTCGGTAAGATATTATGAATGTAGAACGTAGCTTGTGGGCTAGGTATCCGGGAAAGGAGTGAGATAAGTCAGGTAAGAACTTTATCTCTAAAAGACTCTTTAAGGTAAATGACCTACGAGTTAAGTATTTTACGAGTATATATACAGTATGTATCATCAGGTGGATGAGAGACATCCATATATACATATCACCCTATTTTTCGGTCTCGTGTCTGAAACATTAGTTATTCTTCATATAGTCTGCTTGTCACTAGTACTTCTATGGAGTACTGACCCCTCCGGGGCCCTCACATTTTTCAGGTAAAAGCTAGAGTCCTACTACCTACACTTTTGCCTAGGGTGATTGATCCAAGGAGGAAGACGTGGTTCGTGCTTCCACTCTTATTTGGAAATTTAATTATAAAACTGCTCATGGATATTTGAACAATTATTTCCTTTAAATAGTTGGGGGCCTGCGTGCTTATGTTTGCCACGTGTGGCTAAATATCAAACATATTATTTCCGCATTTGTTTGATTACGATATTGATGTTGATTGTATGTGTTTACTAATCGGTTTGGCAATAGAATCTATCGGATGCCTTGTATGATTCAATAAGGAAGAACTAATGTTGTTCTTATCGGGTTGTACGACGGTTTGTCTACGTGGCTCGGATGCAGTCCGGGGCGTGACAAGTCCTTTCCTCCTCACACCCATCCCTGTTATTAATCCGAAAACCTACTGCCTCTATCGCCATGGCAAAAAAAAATCTCTTCTTCCACCGATATTAGCTACATCTCCCTCTCCTATCTTCTACATATTTCACTTTTTCATTGTGAACATAGTACAGGTAATGGATCGAAGCTCAGTGTAGAATTCACAGAACTCACGAGGTCAATACTATGAGTTGCAGACTTCATGGCACAATGATAATCCGGGTAGAAGGTTTTGGCAGTGTCCAATGTCTAACGTGAGTGAAGAATACAGTGAAAATTTTATTAGATTTTTCTATTTTTCTGATTAGGTGTACATAGAATTGTTTATTATTATTAATATTATCATCATCATCATCATCATTATTTCTGCTTTGTTCCACTTGCTAATTTCATACGTTTGGGGTTTGTTTTGGCTTTAGAGCAACATGTCATGTGGGTTTATGCAATGGTTGGACCCTCCTATGTGTAATAGAGCAAAGAGGATTATCCCAGGGTTATTGAGAAAGATCAACCGATATGAAGAAGAAATTCAATCAAGGCCCTAAATTTCTAATACTCTACTTGGACCTAAATTTTCAATCAAGGCCCAAACCTCTTTCTCAGAGACTAGTTTTTCCAAACCTCGGTCTGAGAACGAGAAAAACTCATGCTCTTCTAAGTTAGTGTACCCTAGTTCCTCCAACTTTTCAGTTAGAGCTATCAGACCAAATTCATCGACATCCTCCTCATTGAAGAAATTTAACTTACCTCCTAGATACACGGGGAGTGTCATGTGTAGGTCCATATTTCCACCATGTAGCATTTTTGAGCACAAATAAATTACTGCTCCCATCTGAAAAAATAGGTGCAAACTAATTATAAATGTATTTAATTAATATCTTTAATTCTTACAGAATGTTATGTATTTGGATAGCAATTGGAATCATAAAGCAATTGGATTAAAAATTGAAGTCATACTTGTAATACAAAATGAACCCAGGCTAAACCAAAAAATTATTTTTTAGTGTCATTTTTAATGAACCCAAGCAACTGTGCTGTCAAGAGGTCCATCTCCTATGCAAAGAAAGAAAGGTGCATTTTTATAATCTCTGCCACCAACCCACCACTACCTTTACTAACATACATTGAATGTCGTCCATACCTTTACAGCATCATCATCTCATTAAAAGTGAAACACATCTTTACACTTTATATTTGAGTTGGAATGTTTGTGACTTTCTTTGGTATAGTACAGAGAACTTACTTTGGTGTGAAGCTTGTGCGCCGCTTCCAATGGCGGCTAAATCCACCATTTTGCAGTCAATCCTTTAAACCTACTCTGGAATATTCATCTGGCGCGGAATATTAAAAGCGGAAGATGAATGTTGAAGATGGCCACTCGACCTAATCCAAGAGCGAGAGATTAAGAGCTGTGAATTTGGCAATAAAATGACTCTTTTGACCCCCCATTAATTAGCACA